CCTAACCCTAACCCTAACCCTAACCCTAACCCTAACCCTAACCCTAACCCTAACCCTAACCCTAACCCTAACCCTAACCCTAACCCTAACCCTAAAACCTTGTTTGCCACTGCCAGCACCTGTAAACACCAAGCCATCTTCTATCACAAAACCATTAACATTTCAATTACTCAGTTGTTGCACAGCAATTCTAAAAAGTGCAAAATGTACACAGGATCGTGGCACATATTACTACAAAATTGCATGAAAATCCAGCCTATTCTAAGGGTCTAATAGGTTTATTGAAGTTGTAAATGGATTAGTGACAGAATCAGGGACCTGCACAGGACACAATTAAATCAATTGAAGTCTAATTGGGGAAGAGCTAGAAGGTAGGTTTGGGTGGGTTAAGGTACTAGTAGGTTTGAGCGCAAGGTACTAGTAGGTTCAGGCGCAAGGTACTAGTAGGTTTGGGTGCAAGGTACTTGTAGGTTTGGTCGCAAGGTACTAGTAGGTTTGGGCGCAAAGTACTAGTAGGTTCAAGTGCAAGGTAGCAGTAGGTTTGGGTAGGTTTGGTCACAAGGTACTAGTAGGTTTGGTCATAAGGTACTTCCAAGTATACTGATTGTGCCAAATACACTGCACGTACCAAGTATCCCAACAGGGCATAATTGCTTGAGTTACTTGAATGAGATTGATGATCATACTGAGTATCACCAACACAGCCTCACTGCTTGGGTCAATGAATACTAAGCGTATTGATCATACTGAGTATTACCAATGCAATCTCACTGCTTGGGTTGATTGATACTACAGTTTGTTGGCTATAGTCCTGTTTGTTCAGTGTTATTGTAGGTTGCCCTTTGATTGTAAGAGAGTGCTGCAGTTGAGGAGAGAGCCGCTGCCCTGTCAATTAAGCCTAAGGAGAGTGCCGTTACTCATGTGAGTGAGAGCGTGAGGAGAGTCCTGTTGTCCTGTCAATTGACCATGTGGAGAGAGCGGCTGCTTGACTGTGTGAGAGAGCTGTTGTTGTCTCGATTGAAAGTGTGAGAGAGCTGTTGTGGTGTTGATTGACTGTGTGGAGAGAGCTGCAGATTGACCATGAGGAGAGAGCCATTGCCTTGTCAATCAACTGTGTGAGAGAGCTGCCAATTGACCTTAAGGAGACAGCCGTTGCACTGTTGATTGTAAGGGGCAAGCTACTGAGGGCAATATGCGATGTGGAACTTGATGGATTTGATAAGGGGCAAGTCCCAGAGCGGGACTTGCAGAATTCTAATACTCCTGCTTCGGGGGTTACAGGCCCGCTCCGGAGGTGACCGGAGGTTGTACGTCCACTTCGGAGGTACTGAGGCCTGTGCTGTTGCCGAGGCGCTAACAATTAGCCTAGCCCATTACATTGATTGAGTGTGTGAGAGAGCCATTGCAGTGTCAATTGACCGTGTGGAGAGCCGTTGCCCTGATGTGTGAGACAGAAGACAGCCATTGCCCTGTTGATTGGGCATATGGACTGTGCTCTTGCTAAATATTTGGCTGGCAAAGCAAAGGAATAAACCTGTTTTCCTTTGTAGAATAGGGTGAGAGAGAGCAGCAAAAATAAAGAACTTGCAGCCCTAACATATAGTGCTGCTGGGCAGCATAAATTTGAAAATGCCTGAGCCTAGTTAAAACCCCTTAGAGAGACAAACCAGCAACAAAAAGAACCAATCACCCTAACTTGATATGACCGAAGGATATTCGTGCCTACTGCAATGGGTACCTACGCCCTAACACCTGCCTAACCTGGTGTTAAGTTTATAACTTCAGAGAAGTGCATTCGACAGTACAATCCAAAGCAGTAGACAGGAGCATTACACACCAAAGTGTGGACAACCCTGCTCTTGCACACCTGGTTAGAATGTGCAAGCCCTCAATACCCAGTATAAAGAACAAAGGTAACGAGCAAGACTCGAACCAAGGTCCTCTAGTACTGGGGTCAGTCAACTGTGCGCTAGAAGCAAAGGATTCTTTGATGAAATTCTGGCAAATGTTTGAGTATATATAGTGGCAATGGCCGCATAGCTACAGACAGGGTCTTTGTAGTAGACCTGTGGATGTGTGGGAGAGTGCAGAGTGGGGCTGTGGGTCATAGCACTAGGGAAGCCCACTCTTGTCCCCTTTTTTGGCCAATAGTAGATTGCATTAGATTACTATAACCTCACTATAAGAGCTACAATGCTCTAATGTGGCAAGTTGCTACAATTTTGTAATAAACTGTACATGGATCTGCAAGCTCTCATTCTGGTTTAGTAAGTTTTGTCTTGGCACAGTTCCGGTGCTGCCAGCACCAGAACTGCAGTACCAATAACATCAACACCACAATAACAATATCAATACTCTAGCACTAACCCTATAGTACCTATAATACTGCAATCTACAACATTGCTGCAATTGATCCTTGGGCTGCTGTACTTGGAGCTACAAGTTCCCAATTAAGCTTAGTATAGTCTGTCTTGGCGCAGTTCCGGTTCTGCCAGCACTGGAACTGCAAATTTAACCACACCACAAATACCAACAACACCAAAATTACCAACAATACCAAAAAATACCAACAACACCTCCAATACCAACACAATGACAATACCCTCATCTACCAGACAGCTGCATTCAGCTCATAGGGCTCTGTACCCTGGTCTCCAGCTGCAACAGAACTATGCTATCCAAACTGGATACCAGCTTGCAAGCCCAGTGCACCAAGAACTCTTTGCTCAGGCTGCTAAACTGGGGCCATTTACCTGTTCTACCAGTTCTGAGCATTGCAAATCTGCTGGTTGGCTTTCTTGCCCTTCACTGAGCTGTCCTCCAGTGTTTATAGCTCACTCAATTCTGGATGCAATCTGGCTGCTTCGTAGGTCTCTTCCAGATTCTGCTCTTTCAGATTCTGGCTGGAAGCAGTTGATTGATGCAGCATCTGCTTCAACTACTGGTGAAACAGAAGAAGCTCCTCTTTCTACACAGCCCCCAAAAAGACCACTCTCTCCAAGTGCATACACTGAGCAACCTCAGGCTAAACAAAGCCGTTCAATTTCTCAGACAGCTGCTATACTTGGTAATTGGTCTGCAGGAGAAGCAGCTGCTAGAGAAGCAACTATAGAAGAACAAGCCATTAGGGAGAAGGAGCAGGAGCAAGAGGGAGATCAACAGCAAGAGGAAGAAGAAAGTAGGGAGTTAGGAGGAGAGAGATACACTACAAAGGGAAAAGGCCAAGTTGTTCAAGCAGAGTCTAAGAAACAGGAGGTCAATCAAGATAAAGAAAAGGAAAACAATGGAAAGGAAAAGAGCAATGAAGAGGAAAAAGAGAGCAATAAAGAGGAAGAAAAGGGCAATCAAGAAGAGGAAGAAGAGAGCAATCAAGAGGAAGAAGAGGGCAATCAAGAGGAAGAAGAGAGCAATCAAGTAGAGGAAGAGGGCAAT